AAGAAAAAGCTTGCATTTATGTTAGACACTTTTCAATCCTCTCATGTTCACATGAGATGAGAGGACTCCAGGGAACAGCTCAGCTACTTCACCCTTCAGTTCCTGTAGCAGCCTTGGTGAACACTACCTACTCCTGATTTCCTTGTTTTGTTGATTTGGTCTATAAAGCTTCAAATCAGTGTTGCTAGAAGCGAAGCTACACCCTCTCTTCTGATCAGCAAAAGTGGAGTTGCTCAATATTTGCAGTATTTACAAGCCTATTTTTTTCATCCTCATTTTGAACTGACTTGTTTCCTGTCTTATACTTTGATCACAGGCTTTTAAATATAGAGATGTTTCTTTATCATATGAACTCAATGCCTTTAAAAATAGCCCAGACAGTGCAAACTCTTTCATAGGTCCCTAGGTCCCCATAATTCTGCCAATAAAAGATGACTTGGAAGAGCTATGATCAAGCCCCAAAAAGAGGAGGAGAAGAGAAAAAAAAAAAAGGTGTTGGATATTTTTCTAAATGTTGGAAAGACCATTGTGACCCCCACAAAAAGCTCCAAGTCAGCTTTTCCTGTCAGGACAGAGCTGTCATCACTCTGGCTGCCTCCTCCCAGAGGAACAAAAAACATTGTAGATGTTGACAGGGCCTGATTTATGGTTTGGGGTTCTTACTCATATTCAATCATCCAAGTGCTAAGAACATATCTATTAACTTTCTCATACGTACTCATCCAGGATGCCAGCTAAGTTACGCAATTCACCTTCATCACTCTTTCCTTGAACCTTCAAATACAGAAATGCAGTCTGAGCACTCTGAACTGCAATTCAGACTATTTGAACAATTTCAGTTCAGAACTACTACTTAATTATGAAACGACAACCCCCAAGACTCTCTTAGCTTCAGGTCAGATACTACTTCATTTGCAACAGCCAAACTCTGAACAAGTCTTGACAGAAGGACTTCAGTCTGCATAAAAAATACCTCAAAAATATCAGCCACCAGGCATTTTCATGCAAGTTACGTGAAATTTAAGCTGCTGCCTCATCCTTTATTTCTGAAGAGCTCTCTTTTCCTCTGCAATGTTCCCCTTTTTAACAAATACAACTTTTTTCTACAGAGATGAGTAACCTACCTGCCTTTAACCTGACAACACTATTGGAAAAAAAGCAAGCAACCAAGCCAACCACCTCTCCCACCTCCATGTCTGCAAACAGGTTATTCAAATTCAGCAGAGAGAACAATTTTCATTAGGAAAGCACCTTTTCTTTGTTCTACAAAATTCCACTCGCCTTGCATGAAGATATAAACCTCCTAACATCACCACTCCCTACTATGGCCCGCAGTTAGAGCAAACATCTAGCTAAATACCACTAGCCTAGGATGAGCTCAGACGCTACCATACAGCCCAAGAACTGGAAACACCTGGAAGCTGTTAGGGCAGCTGTACTGAGATGCAGCAAACCAGGTAATGCTTATTTTCTCTCCCTGTGGTTATTTACAGAATACTACAGCAAGTGCTCAGCAACGTGCCCTCTTGCCACACTGTCACCAACATACATAAGCACTATGGCCCCCCTCTCGTATGCAAGCTGTGGGGCGTAGATAGTCTTGCCGCTCCTACAGCAGGCATCAGCAAAGGCAGCAACAGGTTCAAACGCTGCTGCTGACTATGGTATGATATAGCTGCTTGCATCAGAGTTTATTTTTATGAAATGCATTAATTTTTAAATTAAGATTGCATATAACCTTACCCCTACACTTCTGTGAAGAGATGTGCCGTAGGCGAAGCCTGAATTACTGTCATCTATTATATTAGCATTTAATTAAGAGGCTCACAAAATACCTAAACAAGCTGAGGATGCCTAAGCCACAAGGCATCACTAGCTTTTCTAATGGCACATTTTTTGCTTACCGGTTTCACCTGCAGACTTCAGAAAATTCTGTGGACGCCTTCCCATGTTGAAGGCAGCAAAACAGAAATGCAGAAAGCTGAAAATGACCGAAAAAGTACAGGAGCCTAGAACTGAGCCAGCTTTTCCAAGTGCTAAATATGCATTATTCACTAAACAATATGGTTCTCACAGCCATAGGCTTTCCAACCCTTCTTCCCTCCCCATCACCTCTGCTCCTTCGCCGCACAGGAGAATCACAGAATATACAGATGTGAGTCTAGGCCACACTAAAAGGTTGACTCCACTTATGGTCATCCAGCAGGCTGGGTGAATTTAGGATCAACTCCTGTCGTTAGAAGGAGGATAATAAAAGGGAGAAAATGCATCTCCGATGACGAGGTTATATAAAAACTCATGCGACTGAACAAGGTGGGGAATTGGTTATAGGGCTGATCCTTCCTCTCTCATTTATGCTGGTACCAAAGAAGAAATATTTTTGAATTACAGGAGGATGGAAATTGAATACCACTTCTTTCTTTACAAAAACAGTTCACTAAAACTGAGCTACCTGTCACTTACTGGTAAGTCCACAATACGCCTTTTTCATCAAATTCTGCAGATTCGTCCTTGGGTCAGAGAAGTGCAGAGGGTCCGATGTTTATTTTCAGACTTTTGTCAGTATGATTTTTGTAACACAGGGAACAGAATTTTGGAAAGTCTCTTAGTTTTGGGAGCTCTTAGTATCAATCTAAAGCAGTTAAATCATTTTTGGAAGAAGGTAATTAAGTAAGGTATAACAGCTTGAGAAAGATTTGGGCTTTTTTAAACAGAGATCCTAGTCCCATTTAGTTTACTATTACTTGGGTTTCCAATACTGGATGATTCTCTCAAACCCAGAAATGAACTTCTCCGCTTTACCAGCCCCAGCCTCCCCTGTTTTGCAGTAGCCGACAAGCCATAGAAATCCCCTTAGTCCTTGGGTTCTTTAGCAGACATTGGGTTTCTCAGAAGCTGATCACAGCTCTAATAATTTCTGTAAAATTACAATGTAGCAACACGAAAATTCCATAAAGTTGCATAATTAATGAAGTATTCTGAATACCTTTAAAGCTAAGACCGCAATATACACACAAGGTGCTTCAGGTATGTGCCAACATTACCTCGTGCAGAATGAGCTGCTCTGTCCTTTTAGGATACAAGGAACTGAACCATGCACCTATCGCATGGGAGCAATTCAGATTTGCCATCCCTACCCCTTCTCCATCAGTCCTGTGGTTATAAAATGCACCAAGAACGTTACATGGGGCATCATCTCCTCCTACAGCCAAGGTACCTGTGCAAGTGCCTAAATTCTACCCTTTTCCTTTCTCCTGCTGACAAGTAGAGATGCTTCAGTGACTATCTGTAAATGTAGACTACTTCTCTTTACCCAAGGGTGTTGCGGGGTTCCAAAAAGCACTGAAGTCATCCTGATGTATTTTAATGTCCTAGGAAAGCAATCACTGGACGAATAGCAGCAACAGGAGAGGTGAAACACAGAAGGATAAAGCACCGCAGCAGAGACTGATGCTTTAGTATTCAGTAAATACGTGTGCTGATTCCCAAACCAGCTGCAGCAGGACTAGTTACTGTCCGCTTTCCACAAACACTCATACAACTCTGTGTTGGAGGAAATCCTGACGCAAGTGGATTTTGATTGAATTATCTTTTGAGTATTATTTTGTTTTTCTGTTTCTTATAAACTGATTGCGTGAGTCAACCTGTGAGTCTGCAGGAAACTTTTGTGACAACTCAGAAAACGTCGTCTTAGTAATACTTCCAGTAAGTGCTAGCAGAGAACACAGATATCACCATTACCCGCATGTAATCAACTGAGCTTCTGCTTCACTTTCAGCATACTAAGGGAACAACCCATAAACCAGTCTTCCCCTAAAATTCCTCTACTGAAGGTACGTCATTTTCTGGTGTGTGAACGGTCAGGTTTAGACTATTTGGTCTGCCATGTTGGCCAAACTCTACCTGAGTCTTTCTGATATTACCAAAGAGCATTTTGAATTTCTAGGGATTCTGTCACTACTGACTACAGCACCTACCCAGCCGTTCTGCAGCACTCCCGTTTAAAGCTGCATCCTTTTTCCACTGAAAATGAACTATTATTAATCCTTTCAAAGAATCCATGAACGGCAAAAACATTTCACTGACTAAAAGAGCAACCGAATTACTCTTTATGCCTTTCATACGTGGTATATAAATGTCACAGTTTAATATGGAGCAAATAATTGTCGACACAAAATAATTACATATAATTTCATAAATGATATGTGCAATTTAGTGTTTTATTAAACAAATACAGTAGCTAACCAAAATCTGATTGCTGATAATGGGAAATTACATTAAAGCCTATGTTACTATGGTAATTATTGGTCATATGCCCTAAAACATAACGCAGAAAATTATCTTCCTGTGAAATAAGAAATACAATAGAAATAAAGTTAAGGGACATGTTTATTTCGGAGCTTTCTGCAAGCAAAATTGCTTTGATACAAAATGAGTTCAATGATACAGTGCTACCATCCACTCAAGCAAAAGAAAACCTCACATTTACATGAATGCACTTTATATTGATATTCTTACAGAATAATAGTTCAGATATCCAGAATGTGTCTGGCCTCGTTGAAAGCAATGGCACAGAAATGCTGCAAGGTATTGGGAGTATCATATTACCGGCGAGTGCTTAATTAACTCTGTGAGTTCTC